ATGAAATAAATCAGAATCACTAGGCCACTGGGTTTGGTGAGTTCTAATCACGCTGACTGAGTCTTATTTGAGTCAGTCAGCAGTAATGTTGTAGACTTTAGTTCACTGAAGTTCTGAGGGTTTCCGTCTCATGCTACAGCGTCGAAATTGTTCGTCTGTCGGTGTGAAAAGTAATCCTGATGTTAGTAAGTCTTTTTTGTACCAAATTTTGGTGAACTTTGAAATGGCATACCGCAACATCACGCGTTCCACTCACGAATCGCTATCAAGTCAACACAAGTCCTTCTGGTCAGATTTATTCCTTAGAATATTATAATGTTTGAAACCATGAATCTGCGTTGTCAACCATAGCCCATGAACTTTTGATGACAGAATTTGAAATGTTCGAAAGATTGTGTGTGTCACCCATCAAACACCAAACACAAGACCGAATGATTTGCCGAGATGATTGATAACCACATGTAGAAACCACAGCTGAGTGGAAAGAAATAACCGTTTGTTAAACTGTCCATGTCGTAGTGGTGTGGTTTTCGTTAATATTTACCCATATATAGTTTCTAAACCTAAACTCGATTTAAAGTGCTTTTCTCTGTCACATGCACCAAGGTGAGTTGAAACTAACTCGTCTTGAACACGAATCATTCAGTTTTACGTCATCAAGTTTCCTTTTCCCGGGGAAGGCATGTTTCCATTTCGTATTAAAATTGACTCTTTTGCACAAACCCCCTCCTACATGCGTCGTCTAGTTTTGAAGTCACTCATGATGTAGAATCAACTGTCGACTCACCAGTCTAATCTTATTCTGTATTTGAAATTGGGTACGTAGCTGCTGAATATCTACCCTCGGATGCATGAAGTATATACCTGACTTGAATTGACTGGACTCAAAAACCATGATAACCCCGTAAAGTCGGTGTATCCTGTTTTTAAGTCATTCCACTAACTTCAGTGAGAACTCAGATCTGCCTCAGAATTGTCCGGTTATTAGCACAACAACAAAGAATACATAGGTTGCTCTCACATTCGCCCACTCGTTGTACACAATGTATTAGTCCGACTGGTGTGGGCGACCACGTCTTGAGGTTTAAACAACGCTGACAAGATTCATCTCTCATCTATCGATCCTCTCCATCGACGGGCTATCTTGTCACTCGAGATCCCGTTGTCTCAAGCCTTGGGCTTGGTACCGCACCAGTGTTGACTGCCAACGCCACTTGGCTGTCCGCCAACTATGAGTTAACACATTCCCTCACAATCCCTGTCATGAATCATCATCTGCGCACATCTCCATGGGGCCCTACCAGGATTCAAAACCGGGATGAATGCTCATGAGTCAAACACTTCACCAACAAGTGATCGATTATTTTTCTCATTGGCTTAAATCTGTTACCATCCATACCGAACATTTTGTTACATTACATCTGGGTTACAACTTTCTACTCAGAACATCTATTTCCAACTGACAGATTGAAATCTGCAAAATCTTTAGTAAATGAGCGCCGGCTGAACTTTCCAACCATAAGTTAGCATCGTTAATTTTCATGGGGTGTGCAGTTTCGGTCCTCAGAATTGAAACAAACTTCGCGTAGGCTTTAGTGTGATGGAGACTATGTGGAGGAGGATTTGGTTAACCATGGTTTTCGTCTATTCCTGTGCCAGCGAGAATGTCGTGAGCACGTGGCAGCAACCCATCAGCGCGCACCGGTACTTGTTCACTGTGAACAGTGCAAGTTGTAGACTTTTCAAAGCTATTCACTGTGTTCCGTGCAGTGTGTCATAGCTTCCTGTTCAGGATTCAACCAACCAGATCACCTAATGACTGGTCGGCAGCTTATCCATTACCAGTGGTATGGCTCATTTTATTTTCAAAGGAATAATTAATAAATAAAAGTGAGAGAATATCTGATTGTCATTCTCCTCATGTCAGTTTTATTGGGTGTCGTTCTATGTACAAGTCATTCCATCGCATGAGGTTGATCGGGTTGAATCAAATTTCACAAAGACATTTGGGCATAGCTACACAGTTTCAATTTTAATTGGAAGCATTGTGAATTCAGTTGAATTCTATCTAACTTCACATGTACTCATCCATCGCACCGCTCCCCAGTCACAGATAGTGATTGGTTTGCTAACAGCCAGTCGTACTATTTACCCACAAAGTAACTGCACATCGTCACATTTTCCTATCACATTTCTATCATGGGTGAGCTGAATTCTCGTTGAAATGTGTAACAGTCTGGCCGATATCGTGTGACGGGTTCGTGGGAGGATCATATCTAGACTGTTCTTTCCGATCACTGTGGTGACCGTGATACATGTGGGAAGTACATTTGATGTACTGACTAACTGATCGATCGTTCGATTTTCTAAAGCACAATGTGGTAGCCCAGTCTACTGTGTGATTGAAAATGAAAGACTGTATTGACAGATCGGAATGATTAGAACAGTGACGGTGTCAGTTAACCTCGTACATCAGAATCGTTGTATTTCGAAAGAGGTAAAAATGGCATTGGTCAGCTGATGTGCGTAGCGGTCTGAAAAGTTCGTACGATAGGGCTCAAGAGTAAAGTCTAGAAAAAAGTGAAGCAAAATACTTACGGTAACGGAGAGTCTTGTAGTCGAGAGAAACGGATGAGCGTGGTTGGTCGAAATGCGCAAAATATCACGAGTGCTATCAGACTTAGGAACTATAATCGTAATGGAATTTGAATTCAAAAGAGAAATATGTAATGTCAGTAACATGGCGTTTTCGGTGGAAAAATGATACAGTAATACTTCGAACATTTGTGTGGTTAGGTTCCCTAACCCTTTGTGTATTAAGAGGAATCACGAATGTTTGGTCAGTGTCACGAAAATTTAACAATTATACTTCTGCAGTGTTTTGAGGATTTTGCAAATTTTGCAAATCTGTGTAAAAATGCATATACAAGTTAGTTAGTTTCGCGAATCCCGAAACGCGAATGCATTTAGTATTATTGTGATTAGCTGACGTTTTAGATACTGTGGGCAATTTTGCAATCAAGTAACTCTGAGGAATCAATTACAGGTCAAGGGATATTCGATCTTGAACATTCCAGCGTAGTAGTGGTCTTGCGAATATGTCATCCACAGTAGGATTACAAGTAAATTGATTTCGGAAGTTTCTGAGAATCGAGATTAGGTCGTAGTAGAAATTATCTAAACAGGACCAATGAATCAGGATACATGACTACAGCACAAGCGTGTGTAGACAACTACCGATGAAAAAATTCAGTAGTGTTTCATTTTGTCAGGGAAACATGATAGTCATTGAAGGTTTACCACAACGGGGTCCCGCAGAATGTTTGGGCGTAGAACAGCATCCACCTACAAGGGCAATAAAATTCGTGTTACATCCTCGTACAGAAATTCGATTGGTTGAATCCATTGTCATTGATCTACTCACTGTTCTAACGTCAAAAATAATTGGGCAGTTGTCTCTTTTTTGTGGCGATACATTGAAACTATACAGAACGAGCCTCAAGTGATGTTCAAAACTCGGTCAGGCAGTCCGGCCGAACCGTCCTAGGAACGCGATGCGCCGTAAGTCCCTGGTCGTTTAGGTAACCATCATCCTGACAGCGTGGTTGTGTAGCCCAATGAAAGGGTGTGTTGACTCATGGTCGATGGTCTATCATGTCACGTTAGCAACGAGCACGTCAGCAATTGTCCAGAATCTAGGTCAATGTTTAAGACAGCGGATACACAAGCAACTAGGTAGCGGATCAGTAAGAAATGTACGGATTCCCGTTAAGTGGTAGATGGTCGTTTCATCAATCAACGAACCAGAGGACAATCTACTTGATGCAAGTATGAGCCAGTTAGTTTGTGGTGTAATGATTGGTGTCGATGACTGTGTGTTCTTAAATAGACAATGTGTTCTGATCTAGTATACTGAGATGATTCGATGGCGAGAGGTCTGCACACTAAATTTAGTATGAAAGTTCGAACCACACATAGGCGTCACTAGGTGTAAGTGGTTTATTCGAAGTCCTCATGTTTACTTTCTGCTTTTCTAGTCCGTCCAACTAGTTCAATCAACAGGTCTCTACTGGCTTCAAACCATCTCAGCTTATTAGCTCAGATATATTGTTTGTCATTGACACAATCATAGCTCCTAAAACTAATTGCTCTAACCTGGCATCGGGTAACGTTTCCGGTGATTGGTAGGTCAAACGGTAAACCACCATTTGACAGGACCCTTTTTGGTCTTATCGATGTGCGCCACCGACCCACTGTCGTTTAGTTCGCGATTCCGTTGGTTCAAGCATTGACCTAGATTCTGGACGGGAGGTCATGTCCGTAAGAACGTTACATTCGTGTGATTTGTTTACCACTTCCACACAAGCACTCAGCGACACAATGGCAATCGTTATTTCGTAAACTCCAGCATTATTACTGTTTGATCGATCCCTGTCATAATCTAGCCGCCAATGATTTAATTTTCTGTGCCTCATCGACTGCGTCCTTTAAAGGTGTCAAGAAATATCGATGACAGCCACGACGTTTGGGTGACGGGCAGCCCAATCAACTTGTTTGGAAACCATGAAACCGGTTCTTTGTAAGGCTATAAAGTGATCCTTGTGTGTGTTTAGTTAAAACAGTTACACAACACACAGGTCAAGCGTTTCAAAAATATTTGGTGAGTGAGCGTACCAAGCCTTGCGTCGAACATCATTCCCTATCCGGAAATACACTAAACCCGAGTACACCGGCAGGGTAGTGAGCCGACCGTACAAACCCCCATTGCAACACACTCCACGCAGTCCACCAGGGTCGGTTACCCTAAAAGGGCAAAATCCGCAAGCATGGTCGTGATTGGTCAGTTCGGTCAGTCACGTTCTCACCAAGATCGACTTACGGTTGGCTGGATACTACCCTAGTTCTTTAATTGGTCAATTCAAGAATGGTAGGCCTGGTTCCGCGTACGCGCGTATCCTTGCTTTTCGTCGTGCGTTGTTGCTCCGAATGTGTCGAAAGGGATGGGAGTAAGTTCGTCCGACTCTTTTCGCACGTAGATTATAGTCCAACACATTTATTGAAGCCCATTACTGTTTTATGGCGGAGGGAAGTAATTTTCTCCTTTAATTGTCAGACAAAGTCAATAAACCAGTCACGTTAGGCAATCCTCAGCAAAGGAGAATACGATTAGGTCCCAGGGGCTAGATGATAGAAATTGGTTCATGCACCTAAACATTCACAGCAGTTCACACACCATACTGACGCACAAAATGCGCCATGAAATCGATCATTTCATTGCATACTTTCATTGTTAACCTGTACTTTGAGAGTGTATCACCAAAGTTGAATTGTTATCTCTGAATATATTGTAATGTCCTAAATCACACTAGTGTATATTGTTAATTGGAATTACAGGATGGCTTCTTTTGTTTGTAAGGACCCAATTAAAATATGGGCAAATGGTCCTGTTGGTCTTTGACCTTTCGTATGCATTGTTCCGTGGTCTATCGGTTTGAATACACTCGAGTCTCGTGTGGTTGTGTTCTGGCCTCACCTATGGGCTGGGTTGAGAGCTTATCAGTTTGAAAGGCAAAAACTCCAACAGATTTTCTGGTTCTACGTCATTAATTGGATGAATAACTTATCGTACGGGGTCAGACAGAGTGACGATATCTTTGTCGGATGATCATTATAAAGTTTTGCCAGTTAGTTATATGCTACGTCTTGTTTTTCCTATTCTAATCCGTAGGTTATGACACTGATGTGGGACTCGTGAGCCAGCACTCTTTGTTATTACCCAGCTCCGTGTTAAAAATTTTGATACTAGACTTCTGGGTGGGATTATCACTGGTCATAAAACCCGACCTGTATCGAACGAAGCCGCCCCAGTGTTCATTGTTAGCTGATACCCGACGCATAGATAAAACAAATAGCTTGTCTTAATTCTACCCCTATCGCGTCAGTACCATTGAGTACTATAGTGCCTGACTCCAAGTACGAACTGGGTGTGAGTGGATGTGTTCGATTGGGCAGGATATTAAGCCACATCTATGAAACTGTTTAGGGAGTTTAGGCTCAATGAAGTTCACGTACAGGAGTTGTATGGCGGCAGCATTTGTTCTCCGACGAAGAGGACTTTTCAAGTCAATGTTAAACCATTAATGGTAGGATGTCTAGAGTTTATCTGGACAACTATTGCATCGGCCACAAAAGGAAGACTGTTGATGTTTCTTGTTCGTATGGGATGGTTTACACAAGCCTCTATCATTCGGGTTAGTTGTGTGTTTGGGGTTCACTTATATGTTGAATATATATTTAACACATTTGGAAAACAGGCTGGCGAACAATCTCGTTCTCAGTGATTCCTAATCATGCCAACACACCACAATGTATATGACGAAATACATAAGAGATACCGTCAGCAAAAATGTCAGGGATCAGTGTTCACACCTATTGTGGCACAGGATTATCCGCAGACCAAGTGTGGACGGATTAATGCATTCTCAACGTTCTAGGACCTCGCGCTGCGTGGCGAGTGTGCCAGGGTAGGTTGAGAACGTGCACAAATTTCTCAGTGTTTAAAAGGGGGCTGTGGAGGTTAATCCCGCCCGCTTCCGTTGTGGCCAAGATGCGACTTTCCACCGATCTGGACAGCCAACCTCGGACCCTGCACAGGAGACGGTATGCTTGATCCACGTTCATTGTGCGGTTAGTCTCGGCTAGGTGTAAAACAACCACGCAGATAATTGACTTAATCGCTCCAGTCCTCGCCCACGCTGGGCGATGATCGCGGACGCGTTCAGACAGGCGTCTGATCGTGTGGCCGGTATACGTTGTTCCACTGGAACATGTGAAAGAATACACACAATATGAGGCTGCAGAATCAGGCACATTGTCTTTTACCCGGAAACGCTGCTGGCCTGGATGTGAACAAAGCGCACAGTCTAACAGCATAGAATGTCTTGTTGACACCGCTTGTCAATCTTCTGTTCACTACGTCTGCCAGAAAGTCACCTTTAAATGACGGAGTGATGTACACTGGTTTCTTCCCAACCACCGTCTTCCTTGGAGTTTCTGTATCCAAATGCATCATCCGCCCGATTGAACGTCCCAAGCATCCGTTTTGATTACAGATACTGTACACCGTAAGAATTTCTTCTTTGACGGCATCTTCAGAGCATTTCTCTAACACTCAGTTTGTTAGATATATGATCAGGTTTGTTTTCAACTTAAGCGCTATAAAGCTACGGAAGTAGATATACTGTCTATTCCATGCTGGCTTGCCGTACACTGACCGCCGTATTTAGCCATCTCAACAAGTCAGAAATGCATATAAGAAGGCTATTGCGTTGTCTGATTCCGATTTTAGTGTGATGCGCAAGTTTAGATGTTCCGAGTTGAAGGTGTTTTGTAATTGACCTCTATGGCAAATTTCATCTGTTATACGTAGAATGCTATCTAATTGTCGCTTGTACAATCGAAGTTCGTGGATCGATGATTGCAACGGGCTTTTTTCCAATTTTCCCATGAAGAATGCTAATAAACAGTGGCCCGAGTGGAAACCCCATCGCTACACCATCTGTTCAGCGATAAGCCTGTTTGTTTAACCTAAACTGAATATTCCGGGTACATAAAAAAGCAACTGTCACAGATCGTCCAGTGGTGTACCTATTTCAGTCTTATTTGCTTGTGTATAGCCTCGAAGATAGTCGATAGTTTCTTCGATTTGGACGTTAGTGACATGAGGTCTTGTGAGAGCATATGTTGTCCTTTCTCATCTAGGTCACTTAAACATTTTACAAGTTCGAAGGTATCCTTTAAACTGCATTTTGTCATTGCTACTCTAGCCGGCTCCAAGAGACTCGTCAACCATTTGGCTCCGGCGTGATACGGTGAATTTCACATATCGAGAATGGGCCTCAGTGGGACTTCCGTCTTATGAATTTTTGGCAATCCATACAATCCTGGTATGATGGTTCTTGTAGGCCAAATTCTTTCAGGTGTGACGGAGTCGATTATGCCCTTTTGTTTAAGGTGCCATAACCTGTTAGTCAGAGAATTCTCTGTTTGAATCGTCTTGTCTTTCTCGGTTTCCATTTCCGCGAATTGGGACTCATTTAGTATGGCCTCCACTTTTTTAATATAGTCAGACTTGTCATACCTAACACTAGCTTGAGATCAAGCTTGATGGCAACGGAACAACATTTGCATTAACTCAGAAACAGTTACTGGAGGGATAAGGTACGACAAAGAGGTCAGGAAAGAGAACAAACGCGACTTTTTTGTTTTCTCACAACCTCCGCTTCTTGATTATTTCTGGTTTCATGTGTTTATGGGGAACGAACCTGTAACACACAGGCCACATAGCACTCCAGCAACTGATTTCTATTCTCCGCGATATCCATCAACGCCTGAAGCCAACGACAGTCCCCATCCATTAGGCCCTAACTGAGAATTTCGGAAGGTCCTGCCGAAACCATTACTGATGATACTAGCTTTTTCATACCCCCATGCCAAGTGATAGTCTGACCGTCGGGTCGATTCTCTCAGCCTTAAACAGCACGTGCGAATAGAACAAGGAAAGGTGAACGACGAACAGGGATTCACAAAACATGTCCGAGTTATCAGAGGCGGCGTAGAGCAATCATCTACGCCATACGTCGGCTATCTGTACTTAACACATGGCGACAAAATTCGTCATTGCCCATTCGATGTTCCCACGAGACGCGAGAAACGTTTTCCGGAGACGTCGGTGGTCAAACACGGAAAGCTGCCGAGTATCCTGATCGTAAAGTGGTTAGGTCTCACAACCATGAAACAAACGCCGCCAACCGCGGCTTTGTAAAACCATCTCTTAAGGAAGCGCTAAGTGTCACGGCGGTACAACAGGTGTCGGCTGTTGGCGACAGCTGTTCTGGTTCTCACTATTTGTGATATGATCTCTCCAACACCACCTCCAGGTGCAATCAAACTCCCGAGTTACTCAAACTTATCGACAGACTCTAGCTGATCACCACATAGGGCGACTGCAATGACAGGCTCCGACCTTTCTTGCAAAAACACTGCAATGGGGAAGGCTCGGAGTTTGTGCCTTATCAATCGTCGAGCGATCCAAAACCTCATGCGCTCTCTGGGGGTTATCATACAGCAGGACGATATCACCAACGTATTCTAAGTCAACAAATCTGTTCGTTGGGAGTAGTTCATTTACACCGTTTGGAAGACCATGGAATTTTCTCTGAGGAACTTTTGGAAAGAAATTGGGATATAGGGAACCTTGCCCCGTACTCTATTGGGGACGACAAAGGTTAGCGGAAGATAGCCAATGCCCCAAACCGACGTGAGGTGTGACCGCAAAAGTCCTTGAGGACCGCGACATGCTCATCAGGCACTCCATTTACCGATAAACAATCCCACTGTGCAGTCCTGCTGACAGATTTGAGGGCCGCGCGAATGTTTGGGAACATGAAAGATGTAACAGTGCAACTATCGGGGGATGAAAATTTGTTCGATGCGTCCACAACCGGCGCGAGACCCAGTCTGTTCCTCGCTAGTCTGCTCTTCACACGTTGGTGCAACCTGTAAAGTATGACAAACGCTAGAATTTTTGACGCTATTGGGACAAGGCCTGTGCCCCGATGATTAATGCAGTCACTACGCGAGACCTTCTTGAAAATGGGGCCAACAGTCGATTCCCCCTTGGATGAGAAGACCCGTCTTGAATTCCAAACTTTGGAGAACAAAATACGGAATTCTTTGACAAGCTGAACTCGACCCATCTTCAACCAGGGCTAAGGAGGCCGCTGGAGCCGGCGCTTACTAACATTTTACGGTCTGGATTTTGTTATAGATCTGCTTCTCAATAGGTGGGTCTGTCGATGCAGACCACGGACGTGTGACGGAATAACTGTAAGTGAAGCGGAGACTGCAGACCAGTGGAACTGTCAGCAAGTGCTCTGTTCTGCGTTTGAGATGCCGATGTCGGTTGTGAATTGACTAATTATTGACTTCGGAGGTCGTTTTGATT